TGGAAAAAAAAAATATTCATATTAAATAATAATAACAACAATATATATATATATATAAATCAGCACATGTTTGAATTTATAAAAAAAAAAATTACTAATATTCTTTTTAGATTATTAGATATTATATTTTCATTAAAAATATAATTTAAATATAAAATATGAAGAAATTTTAGTATCTTTAATCACCAAATTGAGAAAATATAAAAACCAAAAATTAAAAAACACATTTAAAAAATAAAACTAACGAAAGTGGTTCTTGTTTAGAATTTTAACATCATACCTTGGTTATTAAAGTACAATGTAAAATTACAGTTCATAAAATATAATTTAAACAAAAAGAAAGTGCATAAAGATAACCTACAAATTTTTTAGATGTAGTGCCAATCTCTATTTTAAAAACACATGCACTTTCCTCTGTCTAGATTGGAACGAATGCATACAATTTTAAGATTCAACCAAAATTATTTATAGTGATTTGATCCATGATAGAGAATTATAAATATTATGTATATCAGTATAGAAGCACCTCGATATCGATTTTTTTTTTAAGACAAAAATGGAGAATTTTCCAATTAAAATATTTTCGATCCAGATTTTTTTCCATATACATAATATCACTTTTCCTAAATAATTTTTTATAGGGATATCCCCTAATATATCAAAAAAAATTTCCCTTATATTTATGTGTGTTGTAATTATAAGAACTCTCTCGATTCTTATTTACTTAGAATGGTGATCCATAAATATATGGGTCCCTCTTATTTTTATAATTAATAGATCTATAAGATAAAGGATTATATCTATAGTATTTTTGAAAATTATCATTAAAATAAGGAGATGGCTCCATTTTTTTATTTTTTTTTTTAAATAAGAAGGGAAACGATTTGTTTACATTTATATAGGACCTTTGAAAACAAATATATAATTTTTTAGGGTTCAATTCCAAAAATCAAGAGATAGTTGGTTTATATATAACTCTTCATAATTTAGAAAATATAGTATATTTGAGAGGATAAAATTGTGATTTAAAAAAAGTAGAAAACGTGTTAGTTCTTCACACTTTTATAATAGTAGTAGATAGTAGATATAAAACTAATACATTTGAGGTCTTATTTTGGGCTAAAATTTGAGGTCCTAAACACAGGCCGTAGTGCCCTTCGTTCAGAGCCGGCCATATTTGAGCCCGAGCCTAATTAGGCTGGACCCGCCCTAGCCGTAGGCGAATTTCAAACGGCCCACAAATTGATGGGCCAATTTTACACCCCTAATCTTGTACTAAAACTGCAGAGAAGACAAGAGAATGGTGAGAAGATTGGCGTGGTGTCTACATCATATCTGAGGAGAGGGACATATCATCTCTATTAGGTATCACTGTTTTTGTGTCTGTGAGTAAGATTAATCCAAGCTCGTCTGAGATGTGGGTTGACTTTTTGGCTTCTTGATTTTTTTGGCTATTTTAGCCAAGAACTAAAAAGTCTCATTTGAGATAGGCTTTTTGACTTTTTCAACTTTTATGAGAGAAAAAATAAAATGATTATAAATTAGATGTGACATTTTGTCATATTTAGTTAAAATAGTCTATTTTGTCTTATATGACTATTTTAGAAAAAATACTTCGAGCCCCCAATTTTGGAGACCTCACAACTCCCAAAGTGATCCACACTACTCATATATGTGTGCGATCCACATCATGAGTGGGATGGATCACTTGGAGATTGTGAGATCCCCAAAATTAAGAGTCTCTATCATTATTACTATTTTAGCCCCAAAAAGTATCCCCAACAAGCTCTCAGTCAATAATTTAGTAGGAGTCAATTTGCATAAATAGATGATCAGGAGGGATGGTCTCATGACTCCCTCAAATTGACTGCTTATTCATTTTTGAAAACTGCCAACTGAAATTTGTAGTACAGACTCCACACCATATACTTTCCAATTTGGATGTTTTTGTGACAAAAAATCTACGAACACCTAACATTAACCGCTTATATACTGAAGGTTAGGTTTGATTAACTTTATTGGTTCTTATTTTTTATTTATAATTTTAAGTTGTTTGTTAAAGCTACGGAAATCCAATTTTTAATTATAGATTTTGAACAAATTTTGAATTTATTTTTCTAGAATTAATGAATTACTTTTAAAATGAAAAGATTACACTCACTTCCCTTGAGGTTTGGAATAAATACAGTTTAGTCTCATACTTGGGTATAAGTCCTAATAAGTGAACTTATTGTCCAATAGGTCTTATGATAATTAATAGTGTTTTTTATCAAACATCATTAAAAAAAATCATTAATTGATAATTTTTAGCGACAATTTAAAAAAAAATTCATAAAAAATGTCATCAATTATAAGTTTTAGCGATAGTTTAAAAAAAATGTCACAAAAAAGTCACTGATTTTTAACTTTCAGCGACAGTTTGAAAATTTCGTAATAAAAAAAGTTATTAATTGTAAGTTTTAGCGACAATTTATAAAAATTTTAAAACAAAAAACACATTAATTGTCAATGTTTAGCGACATATGCAAAAAATAATTATAAAAAGTTATTTTTAAGGACGATTTTACTTGAACTTATTTTCAATTACATTAATTTTCTTAGAGATTTTAAATTACATAACAATTAAATTATTTTTTATCAATAATTCGTGACTCATATGAATGAAAAGGTGATGTTGTCATTTTTGTTCTTTAAAATTTATAATTACCTTGACTTGTTTTAGTATTTATCCATTATATGTATTAGTTTTGATCATTTAATTTTATTAAAAGAAAAATTAGTAAAATTAAATAAATTTAAAGTATTAATTATATATTTTTTTCAAATTTTAGAAGGTTTAAAATACATCCTTTTTTTTATTTTTTATAACCATATTTAAAATATCTCTCTGACATGCATTATTTTGTTTGTATCTCTGCCTATCTATTTCTATCACTGCTTATCGATATATGTCTCTACGTTGTCCGTGAAAGGTCACTTATTAATTTAATAATATATTCTATTTAATTAAATTATATTCATGAGAAAATGATACTGTCACAGCCTTGTGTTGTGTGATGGAACATCATTCTCCTGCCTCGCATGTTGGGGCTTACACTACATGCATGATAGGGGACTTGGGGGTGGGCACAGCACTTCTGTGCCCCTTTGTGGGAGTTTGTCTTGAATTTTTCTATAATCTGAACCGTTGATATTGTAGGATTCGTTAAGAATATTATTCATGTAAAAAATCAAGTTAATCGGATATTCATAATCCTATGATTATGTCTTAATAGTTTTTAAAAATTTATGAAAGTTATGTTAACCGTTAATTTTTATAAAAACAAATGTGCTTTGGTTATAGTGCTGCAGATATCCAATCAACCTGATGTTTTGCATGAATGATCTACTTCATAAACCCTACAATATGACGATTCAGATTATTGAAAGAGGCTCAAGACGACACTACACAAAGAAACACAACAGCTTGCTATACCCAAAAGCACAGCAAGATCCCAAATCCCATGATAGGGGAGTTGTGGGACAATTTACTATTATTAAAAGTTTGAAGTATATATATATTTTATTTTTTGTATTTCGATAATATTCTTTCAAACTTATTAATTACACAGTAACTCTACCGAACAATTAAACATCTTCTCAAATTTAAACACCTTCAGACATCATAATATAATTATTTTTTTAATGATTCTATTACTGTGACATGTTCAATATTTATCTCCTCCAATACCTTTTCATAAATGGTGAGTATTTAAACATCATAATATGATTATTATTTTAATAATTCCACTAATGTGGCCTGTTCAATATTTGTCTCCTCGACAATCTTCTCTGAGTGATAGAAATTTTGTGACATTCAAATTAAGAAAAATCATGAAAATATATAAAGAAAATAAATTTTGTGAGATTTAAATCAAGAGAAATCATGAAAATATATAAAGAAATTAAATATTTTTACAATCGATCTACCTTGAATGAGTAGTGATGATTCAAAATGGCCTTACTAACATATTGATAGCCCTTGAATTATTTTTTTCAATTACGTTTTGTGTAGTAATAATAGACTTTGTTTTGAAAGGTTCAAAACAACTGCCGGTCACAATCCATTGCAACATTTTTACAAATAATAATCGACTCTGCTCTGGAGGATTCGGAACAGCCTTGCTTCACACTCTAAAATAGATTCTACAATCAGCATTACCCATTCTGTTTTGAATGTTTCGGACCAAATCTGTTACATAACCAAACGGTTTTAAATCAAAACATAACAGCTCGCTTTGTTTCAGAACCAAACAGTCGATCATATTATCTCTCAATCAACTAAGTTTCACAACCTTTTTTATTTATTTTCGTTCTCTATTCATAATATAGTAAATTGATTTTTAATTACCTAAGTTTCTTTATTATCTACTTAATTGATTTGTGTAAAATGTTTAGCAATTTGTGTGTGTGTGTGTGTGTGTGTGTTTGTATGTTGTATTTGCTTTCTTTGTACATAGTTTTGGTATATTAATTTTTAGTTGCCTAAATTTCTTTATCATGTACTTTACTTTTGTAGAGAAAATCCAATATATATAAACCAACTATGATAATATTAACTATTGTTCAAACCATATTTTCAACAGAAAAAATGTCTCACTGGGCGTGCCAAAAATATGTATTGGTGATTTTTGACATTTCAAATGTTAAAAATGTAATTTGAGTTTGCCAGCAAAAATCTGAAAGTGCTTATAGATAAATGTTAATTTTACTAAGCGATTATGTTAAGATTCTCTTATCCTCAATAAAAAAAGATTTTATTATATTATGTTAAAAAAATAAACCAATATTTTAACCAAAATTCATGACAGAATAGGAAGAAAAGACTGGACAGAAATTATAATTAATTAATTAAATAAACAATTATAAAATGTTACCATCAATAAATAATTGGTTGGTATCACTTTTTTAGTCTCTGTGCGTAAGAAGCAATTTGTGAAAACTGGTCACTCATTTGTGAAAACTGGTTGGTATCACTAGACAGAAAAGACTAGTCACTCATTTGTGAAAACTGCCACCTGAAATTTCTAGTAGGCTCTGCACTCCATGCTTTCCAATTTGAATGTTTGACTTAATATTAAGATCAAACGCTTTATTAAAAACATTTGAAGCGCCCTCCTATTATACTCATAAATAGAGCCTTTAAACACACATAGCACCGAGTGTTTTTGTCTCTCAGGAATCTGCACAGCACAGCCTTAACGCTCACGTCGCCGGTTTCTCTTCTATCTCTGAGAAGGGTGCTCTGGAAAATGCAAACCCTATCCATTTCTCACCGTTTGTCTCCCTCAACCCACTGGCTGTTTCCGTCGCCGGTCACCGCCATTCCCTGCAGAACCCCCAGCTCTCTTCCTTGCCTCCGTACTCTGCAGTGCTGCTTTCTCCAATCTCCATCTCTGGGTCCTTCTTACTCTCTCTCTCTCTCTCTCTCTCTCTCTTTCTCTCTCTCTCTATATATATATATATTCCCATTATGCAATCCCACTACAGACCCCCAGTGACATGGCCATGCGGTGGCAGCTGATGTGTAAACATAGCTGGAAAAAAAAAAAAATTTGAAAAAGCGGGAACCAAACCTGTGGGTCGTCCATCCTCACCTCTCGCCGCCAACCTCGTCTATCCTAGTCTGTCTTCCCTCGCCTATCCTCACCTCTCGCCGCCATCCTCCTCCTCCACCATAGCTCGCCGGGAATTTCTGCAAAAGTGTATTCTGGACAACGGCCATAGATTTGAGCAATATCAGATTACTCGCTCTCATCTATCCTCAGATTATAGAGGTCGTCACAGGTGGCCCATGGTTTTGAGCAAAAGTTTTGAGCAATATTAGTTTTGAGCAATATCAGATTACACTTTTGAATGGTAATATCTCCATAGCTCGCTCTCATCTATCCTCGATCTTCGTCGCTCTCATCAATCTGTTGTCCTCTGTCCATCAATCTGGTTTTGCTCTGTCCGGTTTTGCTCTGCTCTGTCTCTGTCCATCAATCTGGTTTATGAGGTAAAAAATCAATTTCATTAACCAACAATGAGACCTATGAAATCTGAAGTTATTTGTCATTTGAGTATTCTGAAATCTGAAGTTATTTTATGACTAATCAATTTGTCATTTTGGACCTATAAAATCTGGAATATAATCTGTAAACATAATATGAAATATAATCTGTCATTTTGGGCCTATGATTAACTGTGGTTATTTTATGAGTAATTGTTATATAATATGAAATATGAAATTTGGGCAGTGTTATATAATCTGTAATCTGAATATGAGTAATTTGTAGCTATTTGGGCAATGTTATATAATCTGAAAGGATGAGTAATTTGTCATTTTGTGAAGTTTAGTTCAATATATATATAAGTAATGTGAAATATGAAATTTGGTTCACAGTGATCATTATGAGTAGTTCCATAATCTGTAAACAGTATTTCCATAATCTGTAAACAGTTTATAGATGAAATGAAAAGGTGGATGGTTTTCTATAAATGCCTCTGCCATAAAACGTGTATATCATTGATCACTAATGTACTAACATTTAAAAAATTATAATAAAAAAATATTTAAATATATTATTTGAATAGTGTTGTAAAATTCTTTTAACTGAAATTTTAGTTGTTTAAATATACTATTTGAGGTCGGTTCATTTTGACAATTCCAATTTCTGAAAAATTGTGGGATAATAATTCAATTTGAATATTCCTATCGTAAGCAGAATGCTATTGATCCGTAAAAGGGCAAAGAAAAAAAAATAAAAAATAAAAAAATTGTTCTAAGAAAAATGTTGTGAAGATATGAATTTTGGTTTCTTTGCATTCCTGAATTGGGTCTCAATTACAGTTGAATTTAATGTTGTGGTTGGGTTTTCTTCAGTTATGGATGAGACAAAGTTTTTCGAGGTTTCAAGAAAGGGAAACTTAATTCCGCTTCGCAAATGCATTTTATTGGATCACTTAACTCCGGTGCTTGCTTATAGATGATTGGTTAAAGAAGATGCCCAAGAAACTCCGAGCTTTCTGTTTGAATCGGTGGAGCCTGGTTCTTCGTGCTTCAACTGTTGTAAGTGGCTTTTTTTTTATATATATATAATTAATTATTTAAAAGTTCTATTCATAAATGTTATAATAATTCAGGTCTTATTTAAGATTTTTTTAAACCAATAAGTTTTATTTAGTAACATTGAGAATGTTATCAGTTTTTCTCAATTTTCAAAACTAAAAACAGTATCAATTTTGCATAATAATATTCTAGATAATTATTTCACTAACTGAGAAAAAAAAAAAAACAGAGTATGAGATTAAACCTTTTAGCCTTTCTATTTATTAGTTTAATTCAATTGTCCAATAAAACTAATAACATTATTAGTCTTTTTTTTTTCAATTTTAAAAATGAAAACATTATTAATTTTTTCATTTTTACTTTTTATTTTTTTCCTCAGTTTTGCACATCAATGTTTTATCATCATACACTTTTATAGACACAATTTTTATTTTTGCATAAAAAATAATTCAATTCTTTTAATTTTTTCAAAAAAAAAATTTTGCACATTTTTTTTTTTAAATTTTGCAATTTGAAAGTTGATAGTTTTAAAGTTTTAAAAATTAAAATAAATGTCAAATTATTATATTTTTTTATAAATGATCATAAATGATGAATAATTATTGTTTGAAGGGTAATTCCAACTATTAAAAATTTAATAGGACTTGAAAGTTTAAAAAATCTTTATGGAGTATAAATTTATAAATTAAGACTTGTGTTTAAATGTCCTTTTTTAAAAAAAAAAAAAAAATTTATGTACTTGTTTGTTTTGAATTATACATTCATTTTCATACTTGTTTGATTTGAATGCCGTAAATTTGATTGTTTTTAGGGTGGTTATAGCGTGGTTGGAGCTCAGCCAGCCATGGAAATTGTGGCAAAAGAAAATAAGGTTACAATTTTGGACCACGAGAAAGGGTGAATAACCAAGAAGGTTGTTGATGATCCAATGGCGGTTCCAAGAAGTATTCCAAGAAATATTTCCAACTCTCTGAAAAGCCACTTACAACGGTTGAAGCACGAAGAACCAGGCTCCACCGATTCAAACAGAAAGCTCGGAGTTTCTTGGCATCTTCTTTAACCAAGCATCTGTAAGCAAGCACCGGAGTCAAGTGATTCGATAAAATGCATTTGCGAAGCGGAATTAAGTTTTCCTTTCTTGAAGCCTCGAAAAACTGTGTCTCATCCATAACTGAAGAAAACCCAACCACAACATTAAATTCAACTGTAATTGAGACCCAATTCAGGAATGCAAAGAAATCAAAATTCATATCTTTACACAACATTTTTCTTAGAACAATTTTTTTTTTTTTTTTTTTTTTTAAAATTTTGGACGTATAACATTTTCCTTGTTTATGTCCATACAAATTTAACCGATTAAATAATATATTTAATATTTTTATATTATAATTTTTTAAATGTTAGTACATAAGTGATCAATGATATACACGTTTTATGACAGAGGCATTTATAGAAAACCATCCACCTTTTCACTTCATCTATCATCGAATACATAATGGGAATATATATATATATATAGAGAGAGAGAGAGAGTAAGAAGGACCCAGAGATGGAGATTGGAGAAGAAAAATGCTTGGGAGCACTAAGTGCTCCCACTAATTAGGTGGCAATGGGTCTCGCCATTAATGATGTGATGTTTTGGTCTTCGAGTTGTATTTTTTTTTTTTTTTTACTTTTTTAATGCATTAGTGCTATTAGTGGCGATGTTTTTAGTGGGATGAATCATTGTTGATTGGAGAAAGCAGCATTGCAGAGTACGGAGGGAAGGAAGAGAGCTGGGGGTTCTGCAGGGAATGGTGGTGACCGGCGACGGAAACAGCCGGTGGGTTGAGGGAGACAAACGGTGAGAATGGATAGGGTTTGCATTTTCCAGAGCACCCTTCTCAGTGTTAATTTTATGTATAAAGAAAGAAATACAGAGAGAATAATGTATCTATTGATGTATTATTGATTGTTGTAGAATATATTTACAATGATGCCTATATATAGAAGAGTAGAGTAGGTAGGTGTGTAGTAGGTGGTAGTGGTATAGGTGTGTAGTAGGTGGAGTAGGTGGTAGCAGGTGGTAGTGGTAGGTTTTAACAGCCCCCCGCAAACTCAAGGAGGAGAGACACAAATCAACTTGAGTTTGGAAAGAGTAACAAAATAAGAAAATACATAAAAGAAAAGAGGATAGGAGACACTGTATGGTCGTGTCAGACCGGTGTAGGAGCTAACCGGAATCAATGTCGGAACAGTTTATGGGGTCATGTCGGACCGTTGGAAAAGCTAACCGGAATCAATGTCGGGACAGTTTATGGGGTCATGTCGGACCGTTGGAAAAGCTAACCGGAATCAATGTCGGGACAGTTTATGGGGTCATGCCGGACCGCTAAAAAGTCGCACCCTCAAAAGGTGTGCCCAATCTTTCAAAAGGCGTGCCCAATCCATAAAAAGGTATGTCGGACATTATGGCGATGCGCGTGACTACCTTGGCTTGTGCGCCCATGTTGTCGTCTAGCGCTGAGCGGCGCACGATGCGCGTGTCTGCCTTGGCTATTTAACCAAGACGGAGGCTGAGGCTGAGGCTGAGGCTGAGGCTGAGACAAAAACCTGCTAAAAACCTCTAAAAAACTCTTTGTTTTCTGAGAGAGATACTCTGTAACACTCTGTTGCCCAGAAAATGGCTTCTTCTTCCCGTGGTCTACTCACTCTCTTTCCAGACCTCAACGAGTCCACAAGAGAGATAACTGGTGCGGTTGCCCTTGAACCTCAACGAAGCGCTCCTGAGTTTGCTCCGTTGACCTTCCCTATGCGGTCTGTGGAGCAAAGAATGGCAGCACAATCAGATATTGAGGCCAATCAGTATACATTGAAGTCATGTGTGGAGACGATGACGGCAGTCACAAACTTGTCGCACCGGCTGCAGAGTAGGACAAATGAGGTGCAGCAGTTAAACTGGCTCTGCTCCAGCGCATGTATAAGGATGCGCGAACAGAGATATGTGTGCTAAAAGCAGAAAACAAGGAGCTGAAGCAGAAGGCCACCGTGATGTTCCGATTTGGAGGTCCGCCATATGCTGCAGTGGAGGAGCAAGGAGGAGAGAACGGGCTCGGCGGCGTGGGAAACACGGAGGCAGCACCGGCAAGGGCCGTCCAGGACGGAGGCAAGAAGAAGAGACCGGCTGCAGAGTAGAGAAAAAATCCCGCTTGTGGATGTAGTTGTTTTGTTTTTGTTTGTTTGTTTGTTTTTTTTTTTTTTTTTTGTTTTTTTTTTTGGTGTAAAATTGTGATCGGGGTTGATCCCTGGCATGAAGAAATGACAAGTTTGTGGAATGTTTTTGGTGTTATTTTGTGTTGTTGTGTTGTTTAATAATAAAAATAAAATAAAATAAAAGATAGATAAAATATATATATATATATATATATTTTTTTTGGATGGGTTATTTGAGAAAGATCGGTGTGAGGTGGATGACGAAGGGAACATGGATGTTTCAAAATAAAGTTGGGGGTAGTGCCCCTGCAAAAGATATATGATTGTAGAGTGGGTATTTGAAAGAGATTAAAAGTGGTTTGGAGAAAATAAATAAAAATAATTGATTTTGAAATCAAACGGAGGAGAGAGAAGGGACAAGCCCATGTGATAAAGTGGAGAGAGAGGGTGTTGAGTTTGGAAAGAAAGAGAAAAAGTAGAGCATCTCTGCTGTGCTACCCCATCGTCAGTCTCACACAACAAAGGAGGAGAGAGAAAGAGCCCCTGAGAGAGACCTGATGGCAAAACCCAAGTCACTGTTGAGTATTACAATGACAAAGGTGCCATGGTTCCAATTCGAGTCCATACCGTTCTTATCTCCACTCAGCATGACAAGACTGTTACTAACGATGAGATTGCTGCTGACCTCAAGGAGCATGGCATTAAGCCTGTCATCCCCGAGAAGTATCTTGATGAGAAGACCATCTTCCACCTCAACCCTTCTGGCCGATTCGTCATTGGTGGGCCACATGGTGATGCTGGTCTCACTGGTCGAAAAATCATCATCGATACCTACGGTGGTTGGGGAGCCCATGGTGGTGGTGCCTTCTCCGGTAAGGACCCCACCAAGGTAGACCGAAGCGGTGCTTACATTGTTAGGCAGGCTGCCAAGAGCATTGTTGCCAGTGGGCTTGCTCGCCGGTGCATTGTGCAAGTCTCGTATGCCATTGGTGTGCCCGAGCCATTGTCAGTGTTTGTTGAGACATATGGCACAGGAAAGATCCCAGACAAGGAGATTCTCAAGATTGTGAAGGAGAATTTTGACTTCAGGCCTGGAATGATATCCATCAACGTGGATCTCAAGAGGGGTGGCAATGGAAGGTTTTTTTGAAGACTGCTGCATACGGGCACTTTGGAAGAGATGACGCTGACTTCACATGGGAGGTGGTGAAGCCCTTTAAATGGGATAAGCCCCAGGGTTAAGTTTCTGCAAATTCAATTACTTTGCAGGGGATCAATTAATAATCTGTCTGTTTCTCTTTCAGGGAGTATGTTGCCGCCGTTGATGGCGAAGAACTCAAAGCTATGTGCAAAAAATTCCAGCGGGCAGCGAAGGCAAAGTTGCCGGGCGGCTGCCCGCCGGTGAGAAAGAAATACAGGCCTAAATCTTATTGCTCTGATACCATGTTAATTTTATGTATAAAGAAAGAAATACAGAGAGAATAATGTATCTATTGATGTATTATTGATTGTTGTAGAATATGTTTACAATGATGCCTATATATAGAAGAGTAGAGTAGGTAGGTGTGTAGTAGGTGGAGTAGGTGGTAGTAGGTGGTAGTGGTATAGGTGTGTAGTAGATGGAGTAGGTGGTAGTAGGTGGTAGTGGTAGGTTTTAACACTCAGAGATAGAAGAGAAACCGGCGACGTGAGCGTTAAGGCTGTGCTGTGCAGATTCCTGGGAGACAAAAACACTCGGTTCTTTGTGTGTTTAAAGGCTATATTTATGAGTATAATAGGAGGGCGCTTCAAATGTTTTTAATGCCACTCTTAAAAGCGTTTGATCTTAATATTAAATCAAACATTCAAATTGGAAAGTATGGAATGCAGAGTCTACTAGAAATTTCAGTTGGCAGTTTTCAAAAATGAGTGAGTAGTCAATTTGAGGGAGTCAAAATTGTCGACTGATATTGTCGACTGATTGCTTGTTATGCACAGAGACTAAAAAAGTGATACCAACCAATTGTTTATTGATGGTAACATTTTATAATTGTTTATTCAATTAATTAATTATAATTTCTGTCTAGTCTTTTCTTCCTATTTTGTCATGAATTTTGGTTAAAATATTGGTTTATTTTTTTAACATAATATAATAAAATCTTTTTTTTATTGAGGATAAGAGAATCTTAACATAATCGCTTAGTAAAATTAACATTTATCTATAAGCACTTTTAGATTTTTGCTGGCAAAGTCAAATTACATTTTTAACATTTGAAATGTCAAAAATCGCCAATACATATTTTTGGCACGTCCAGTGAGACATTTTTTCTGTTGAAAATATGGTTTGAACAATAGTTAACATTAGCATAATTGGTTTATATATATTGGATTTTCTCTACAAAAGTAAAGTACATAATAAAGAAATTTAGGTAATTAAAAGTTAATATACCAAAACTATGTACAAAGAAAGCAAATACAGCATACAAACACACACAAACACACACACACACACAAAAATGCTAAACATTTTACACAAATCAATTAACTAGATAATAAAGAAACTTAGGTAATTAAAAATCAATTTACTATATTATGAACTGGGAACGAAAATAAATAAAAAAGGTTGTGAAACATAGTTGATTGAGAGATAATACGATCGACTGTTTGGTTCTGAAACAAAGTGGGTTGTTATGTTTTGATTTAAAACCATTTGGTTATGTAACAGATTTGATCCGAAACATTCGAAACAGAATGGGTAATGCTAATTGTAGAATCTATTTTAGATTGTGAAACAAGGCTGTTCTGAATCCTCCGAAGCAGGGTCGATTATTATTTGTAAAAATGTTGCAATGGATTGAGACCGGCGGTTGTTTTGAACCTTTCAAAACAGAGTTTATTATTAATACACAAAGCGTAATTGAAAAAAAATAATTCAAGGGCTATCAGTTTGTTAGTAAGGCCATTTTGAATCATCACTACTCATTCAAGGTAGATCGATTGTAAAAATATTTAATTTCTTTATATATTTTCATGATTTCTCTTGATTTAAATCTCACAAAATTTATTTTCTTTATATTTTCATGATTTTTCTTAATTTGAATG